CGGGACTTACTTGTTGGAATCTCATTCACAGGGGGCTTGGAAAAACAGGTGAGGTTGTAATGAAATCCTCCACTCTCCCAACATTTACAATTTGTTGCAATGGTCTATGAATAGTCTTGCAAATTTGATTTTGAAAATTCCCCATAAAATGCACAAATATCTTTAAAATTTTATTTTCTTTCATTGAAAATATATTTAGCTCTGGCCCTGAAACAAGTTAAGTTCATATAAGCTCTAGTGATCTCAGTTCCTCATATGTAAAATGAGAGTAGTACAAATGATTTTTATATGCCCTTCCAGAATTAACATCATACATGTTCATAATTGAAAGAAAGTTGGGGCCGGCGCTGTGGTGCCGTGGGTTAACACCCTGGCCTGAAGTGCCGGCATCCCATATGGGTGGCAGTCCGGGACCCAGTTGCTCCTCTACCAAACCAGCTCTCTGCTGTGGCCTGGGAAAGCAGTACAAGATGGCCCAAGTGCTTGGGCCCCTGCACCCACATGGGAGACCTGGATGAAGCTCCTGGCTCCTGGCTTCTGGCTTCGGATAGGCGCAGCTCTGGCCGTTGCAGTCAATTGGGGAGTGAACCATCAGATGGATGGCCTTTCATTCTCCCCCTCCCTCTCCTTCTCCCCTCCCTCTCCCTCTCCCTTTCCCTCTCCCCCTCTCCCTCCACCCCCTTCTCTCCCTCCTTCTCTTCTCTCTGTGTAACTCTGACTTTAAAATAAATAAATAAATCTTTTTTTTTTAAAGAAAGTCAGCATTTCTTAATAGAGGAGGAGCTTGCATTGGAAGTAATTGCTCTTGCTACAAGAAGACACTGGCACCCTTAATGACTCTTTCCTCTTGAGTTCTCCCTTACTCCTATGGTCACTGGTTGATTCTTGCCATTACCATCATGCTGACTTCAGAAGATTCTGAATATCCCCAGGCCCAAGATGGATACAGGCCCTTGCTTTGGTTCTCCTGAATATGAGGAAATAAGCAGAGAGTGGTAAGCATCTATAACAGGCATTTATAAGCTATGACATATTCTCACCTTGTGATCTGTGGTGGGGTCCTACTCAGTCTAGGTCCCCCTTTACCTCCAAGAATAAAAAAAACCTTTGACCACTTCTCACCTGAAGCTGTGCATATGGATACCTACACTCCTCAAAATCCAGGCTCAGAGGGAAAGAGAAAGGCCCAGTTACTTAGCAACTGAGGCTTGTCTTACAGTTATTCATTTTACCTGGAGACTTTGCCAGTACTCGATATGACAATCATCTCACATTAGAGCAAAACACAGTAACCCTAGCACTCCTTCAGGGAAGGATATATAAGAAAATAGTATTAAATAGTTTTGTCATTGCTATAATGAAGATGTATAAGTTAGGAATAGTGCTGGTGCATATAAGAAAAATCTAGTGGCCACTGCTGTGGAGTAGTCAGCTAAGCCTCTGCCTGAAGTGCCAACATCCCACATAGGTGCCAGTTCATGTGCCAGCTGCTCCTCTTCTGATCCATCTCTCTGCTATGGCCTGGGAAGCAGTAGAAGATGGCCTAAGTGCTTGGGCCCTGGCACCACATGGGAGACCCGGAAGAAGCTCCTGGCTTTGGATTGGCCTGGCTCCAGCTGTTGCAGCCATTTGGGGAGTGAACCAGGGGATGGAAGACCTTTCTGTCTCTCCCTGTCTCTGTCCGTAACTCTCTCTCTCAAATACATAAATACAATCTTCTTTAAAAATCTAATTAAGAGCTTCAGCCTCAGGAATTTTCCATCTTTCTGCTCCACCATCTTTAATGCATGGTGTTCATTCTCAAGGGAGTTTCATGGCCCAAGATGGATGCTGAAGTTCCAGCCAATATGTCCATATTCTAGGTAGGAAAAATATAAAAAAGGCCCATGACAGATACCTGAATTTCTTCTGAGACATTTTGTGGAACTTCCCCTCAGCATATATTTGTGTTTCACTAACCAGAACTTGGTTTTTGGCCACAAGAAAATTGGGAATTGGGCACAATGACTCTCTAAATAAAATCAAGAATCTTGTATGAGGAAAGAAGGGGAAAATAGATGTTGGATTGGCAACAAATCAGCCATCTCTGCCTCAGCAGGTGTGTACAAAGCAGGGTGGGAGAGCTGGAGGGTACATCAGGCAGGCAGAAAGGCCTTCACTGGGACAGGTGCATTTGAGCTAAAAAAGGAAAAGGTGGGGAGTAGGAAAGGATTCTCAGTAGTCTCCCAATTGGTGATAAACATACTAGCCCACTCAAATGGGATGTGTAAAGATAGAGGAGTCAGAATAAAGCTTACAGGGAAACTCTGGGTAGTTAAGACTCAGGGGAGGAGGAAAGAGAGGTGGAGAATGAAACCAAACCAAAAGATTAGGGGTGGATAGGGTGGACATAGGTTTCGTCTCATAGATAGAGGGAGCTTACTGGCAATGTTAAGCATGAGAGTGACACAGTCTTATTTTCACAACTGAAAAATTAATACAATATTAACCCTAGGATATATTGATCAGCAAGAAAGAAGAGAGATTCTGTCTCGTCCCCCATGTTCACACCAGCAGAGTCACTAGCAGTTGGTGACTGCCAATGGAGGAAAAAGGAAGGAGAACCAAGGCTAATAACCCAGGCTTCCTTGCAAAGACAACACACACACACACACAAACACACACACATACATACTCAATGCAGATACACTCCAGTTTAGACACAGTACAAGTCTTATAGTACATGCTGGGGCTCAAATAGAAAGTAGGGAAGAAATCAAAGGATTAAAAAACACAGATTTAACTCTGATCAATTCTTTTGTCCTGTCTTTTATAGATCAATCTCCCCCCCTCCCCACAAACACACGCTTAAATCCTATTGCACCCTTAACATAATGGAGGGCCAATTTTTTAATCAAAAGCCATTTTTAGGATCAAAGAGAAACATATTTCTGGCCAGATATTGTGTTAGTTATATCTTGTAACATCATATGGTGAGGAATATTCAACAAACATTATAGATGAGGGTCCCTGAAATTCTCAAAAAATCAAATGCTTCCAACTCTGGGGGTGGGGTGAATTAAATCTTTTTTTCTTCCAGGATATTTTTCTCAAGTACTAGCGGAAGTGCTAATGAGAGACAGGCCTCCTTGCCATCCCGTGACAAACGTAATAGGTCACATGAAACCACAGAAAATGAGTCTATTTAAAAATGTCAGATACAACACTAAAGGAAAACTCAGTCTTGTATTTTTTCCTCTTGATCATGGTCTAATAGAGACAATTCAGAAATGATTTCTTCTGAACTTGGTGATATTCATGATTGAAATAGTGTTGCTAATGATAACAATGTGTAGAATCATTACATGGAAAGTACTAATAATGCAAATCAGATGTTGCAGTTTCCCTGTAGATTATTTTTTCCTAGACATATTTGATTCCTCGGAGATTAGCATATTAAAACTCAGATTTGTACTAACATATAGAGAATTTGAGCTTCTAAGAACAAAATTAGACAATTCACCAAATTTTCACTTATGCCAGTTTTGCCATGTAAAATAATGAAAATGTAATATAGTGGTTAATAAACCAAGAAGCATTATTTTCAAATACTTTTGGCACTTGATATATTTTTCTTAATCTATCTTTGAGGCATAATGTTAAAACAATTGTGAAGTTACACAATTATTTGCTAAATCAAAGGCACAACTTTTAATTTATTTATGTCAATTTGAAATTTTAAATATTACCTGATTTCTTGACTATGATTTCAAGAAAAAGTTAGAATTTTTTTCATAGTTAGAGGATTTTTTTTAAAGTATCTTCATATCTCATACTGTTTGTATGTCTGATAGTTAAAGGAAATTAGTTTCCTCTTCTGTGCAACAACAGAAAGATGCATTATGTTATCATGAATATAGGTTATTTCTACTGGTTTTAAGTAGTAATAAAAATAAGAATTTAAAAAATGCAAAAAAGAGACAACATCCCTTTTTTCACATTAGTAAATTTCATCTGATGGGTATAGAGTAAAGGAATTTCCTCAAAGAAATATAGTTGAAATAGAGGAACTTTTTGGAACAAAGACTTGGCATTAAACAAATCATCCCTACGTCACAAATGTGCCATAAGAACAAAAACACAACTCTAAATTTTTATAATAGCTATTTAAATAGGAAAAATTACATTTGAGTCTCATAAAAGGTACTCACTGTTCAAAGGCAGTCACTGTTCATATTTAAGTATACAAAATATATTTTTGCTATATCTATATAACATAATAAAGGTAGATATAATGGTTATACTGTGTACATTCAATACACACTGTATGGATCAAACAGTTTTGCTAGATTTTACTGCAATAGCAAACTCCAAAACTGCAAGTTTATGGCCACCAGTTATCTTGCTCCCATTATATGAACTCTAATGATTGGTTGCATCTCTACTCCACATCTGTCTCATCCAGAGATCAGGGCAAAGGCACATCCCAACCTGGTACATGCTGATCTTGGAGCAGAGAGAAAAGCAGAATAGTAGAATTCCACATTGCGGAATCCCACAATGGACCATCTGTTATCATTCCGTTCTCCAAAACAAGCCACCTGGCCAAGACTGATGTATTGGTCCACAAAATACAATTTCTCACTGAGAAAGGCATTAAATTAGTGGACTAACTGTATTGTTTAAGAAACTTTCTGTAAGCAGATTTATTCAAAGGATACCTCCTTCACAGGACAATGACAAATCTGTTTACTTAACAAATGACTGTTTACTCCTCAGTATATCAGAGCACATCAGAAACACGGCATATAAGCTAAGCAAATAGCACAGGAAAATTCATAGTTGGAAAATTTATATTTACAAACAAGATTCAAGTTAGGAAAAAAACAGGAAAAGCAGTATCATAAATCACAAAGCATTCAATTATGACTCTAAAATGAGAAATATATAGAACTAGCATGTAAATATAACTACTATTACCAAAAACATTAAATATATATAAAAACATAAATCAATAGGTCATCTGCTGAAGTAGGGAAATGTTAGATAGAATAAAAGTACAAAATTTGGGACTAATAATGAAATAACCACAAATAAAGCAGAGGTTGAAAGGGGCATGATGATCACTATGTTCAACTCTAAGCAAACCTAAGAATTTGAACTAAAAGGGTGATTTTTAGGAAAACATAAATTACTGATGGTTCCAATACTATTTAAATTTTTCCAGAGCATTGAAAATTAAAATAAAAAATTTCTAAATTATTTTTATGAAGTTACAGCAATCTTGATGGAACAAAAATCCTAACAGAAAGCTGCAAATTGGGGTGGTGCTGAGGTGCCGGCATCCCCATATGGGCACCGGTTCTAGTTCCCGCAGCTCCTCTTCCAATCCTGCTCTCTACTATGGCCTAGAAAAGCAGAAGATGGCCCATATGATTGGGCCCCTGTACCCACGTGGGAGACCCAGAAGAAGCTCCTGGCTCCTGGCTTTGGATAGGCGCAGCTCTGGCCATTGATGTCATTTGGGGAGTGAACCAGCAGAAGGAAGACCGTTCTCTCTGTCTCTCCTTCTCACTGTCTGTAATTCTACCTCTCAAATAAATAAATAAAATCTTTAAAAAAGAAAACGAAAGTAGCTGGCACTGCGGCTCACTAGGCTAATCCCTCCACCTGCAACGTCGGCACACCGGGTTCTAGTCCCTGTCAGGGCGCCGGATTCTGTCCTGGTTGCCCCTCTTCCAGGCCAGCTCTCTGCTGTGGCCCGGGAGTGCAGTGGAGGATGGCCCAAGTGCTTGGGCCCTGTGCTCGCATGGGAGACCAGGATAAGCACCTGGCTCCTGGCTTCGGATCAGCGTGGTATGCCGGCTGCAGCACACCGGCTGCAGCGGCCATTGTGGGGTGAACCAATGGAAAAGGAAGACCTTTCTCTCTGTCTCTCTCTCTCACTGTCCACTCTGCCGGTCCAAAAAAATAAAAGAAAATAAAAAAGAAAAAGAAAGCTGCAAATTAATCCCACTTAAATATATCAGTATAAGATCCAATATAAAATATTAGCAAACAGAATGCGGTAGCATATTAAAATAACATTTTATGTATTTTTGTATCTCTGAGGGTACCCCCAAAATAGTACTGTTATGGGCTGCAGTTTCCCCAGCTGGGGCTATTGCAGGTTTGTCCCTCTGTGCATGGAAGAATTAAAAGTGGAGGCAAAGCAAACGTGCACACTCAAGAAATAAGTCAGATCAGCTCAAGAAAGAGAGACAATGAGCAAACAACACATAAAAATATCTCCCCAAAAACCCAATCCCCCCCCCCCACACACACACAAAAAGAACCCTCAACAAGTTTCAACTCAATCTTTTTACTGTCAGGAAGCATAGAGGGTGGTATCAGGGTGTGGCTTAACTGAATATTCAAAAGGAACTGATGTTTGATACTAGGTTGAATACCACCCATCCTTGCCCTTTTATGGAAATATCAAAAATGTTCTGGTGTCAGGTGCATGATGGGATCAAGAATACCCGCCATGGTAACTTTATTATAATGACATAAAGGTCATTGCAGGGACACATCCTGCAGCCATACTGGATATTTCCAGTTGGCTCTAGTTCTAAGTTCACAACACTGTGGAACTTGTGGTTCCACTATTCAGAAAGGTGGGGGCCCGGATGGTACACAGAAAGGGGATTGTCACACAGGCCAGGCTGGGCCAGCCCCAGCTCCCCTATCACAGGCTGTCCCTGTCCCATAGAGGTTGGCATCAACAGAGCCATCTCCCAGCATGTCACACCATGGCTGTCAAACAGCAGCCTACACCACCATGTGGGTTGCTCAGAGCTGGCAAACCTCAGCTCCTCCCTCTACCTACCTACCTTCCCATGTCAGTACCCTTCCTAGTCTTTGGAGGCTAGAAAAAAAAAAAAAAACTGGAAAAAAAAGACTATAAATAAAGCATATAGAGACCAAAATGTCATAATTAATTCTTTTTTATAAGATTTTCTTAAATTTATTTATTTGACAGATAGAGTTAGACAGTGAGAGAGAGAGAGACAGAGAGAAAGGTCTTCTTTCCGTTGGTTCACTACCCAAATGGCCACTATGGCCAGAGCTATGCCATTCCGAAGCCAGGAGACAGGTGCTTCCTCCTGGTCTCCCATGCGGGTGCAAGGACCCAAGCACTTGGGCCATCCTCCACTGCCTTCCTGGGCCACAGCAGAGAGCTGGACTGGAAGAGGAGCAACCGGGACTAGAACCGGTGCCCATATAGGATGCCGGTACCACAGTTGGAGGATTAACCAAGTGAGACATGGCGTCGGCCCCCATCTTTAATTCTAATAAAGACTATAATATGGTCTGTTGAGAGTCAAAAGGGCCTGCAAAGCAAAGCCCAAACTGGACAGACTTGCCTATGAAATGGAGATTTGCCCAGGGTATTCTTAAATTGTGGAGGGGTAGACTTCCATCTCTCAGAGGGAAGTTGGTTTCAAGAAGAAAACAGATGATTTAAGCATTTACTGGTTTATTCTTCCAATCTTTACCTACCACTTTCCCTGGGGCAGAGGAAAGAATTGAGACATCAGGAAAAGATCCTTTACCAGGAAAAGAAACACTGGAAGTGGAAAATGCATTCCAGCTCGTTGGTTTTGTTAAAAAAAAAAATCCTTTGATTTCACCATTAGCCTATGGTGTATGGCCCTCAAGAGACAGACTTATTAGTGGGGTTCCTGCTCCTACCCTCAAGAGGCTGTTACCACATGATGACTCTTTGGGTATCCTCTGGGGACTCTTCATGAGCAAGATATTAGGCTATTGGGATATTGTTTCCAGAAGACTATGAACTGGCCTGGAAGTATATATTATTTAATAAATTCGAGGCTTTGCTGGATTAATGGTTGAAATTTTATTCTCCATTTTGTTTTCCATTTCTAAATGTGTCCTTGCTGTGCTGTCTAAAACATATCATCAGAGATTCTGCAATTAGATTAAATGACAACATCAAGTTACTGCAATAGTGAAATGCAAACACCTAGTGCTGACCATGAATGAAAACAGAATCTAAGAATGAATTTGAACTCTACTAGCAAGGTGACTATATTTTGGTAATTAAGAGCTACACTGTGAAAAGGCAGGCACCCTTGAGAATTTTCTAAAGATATCTAAACTCAAGAAAGCAAAAGCATAGCAGAAAAAGTATAACAGAATTTTAGCAATAAGTACTCTGAGAAGCTTGAAATCTATCTAGCTAATATCATGTTTTCAAAACAGAAAGGGGGTCAGAGTCTTCATTTAGTTGATGTATTAGTTTCTGCTGTAACAAATTACCATAAGCTTAGCAGCTAAAACAACACGACTTACTATCTTAGAGTAATGGAGATCAGAACTTCAAAATCAGTTTCAGTGGGGTTAAAGCCAGGTGTTGGCAGACTTGGCATTTCTTCTGGAAGCTCGAAGGGAGAATTCATTTCCTTGCTTCTCCCAGCAATTGGCTGCCTGTTTTCCTTCGTTCATGGACCCTTCTTCCACATTTAAGTCAGCAGCACAGCCTCTTCCAATCCCTTTCTACTACTGCTGCATCCCCAATTGGATTTCCTTCCCTCCCCGCTTCTGACGAGGCTAAATCTTCTCTAATTCTGACCCTCTTAGATGGCCCCCTGTGATTACACTGGACCCACCTGGATCATCCTGCATGATCCTCCAATTCAGGATTGCTAAAACACACATCTCTAATCACATCTGCACCGTTCTTTTTGCCATGGAATGCAGCATGTAATAAGTTCCAGGGTTTAGGACGTGGGCATCTTAGGGGGACCATTATTCAGTCTACTATGGTTGGATAGATGGCTGGTATGGAAAGGTATTTTGACCTATGAAAAATTCCATGCTTAATTTATTGGGGAATACAAAGTATCCATTAAAAGTAAAAAGGAATGATTTGTAAATGTCCTGTAGCAGTATTATTAGCCCACTAAAACCTTACTGAATGGAGCAATTAGTTTCTGAAGAATCCAATAAAATGGGAACATACTGTACTCCAAGGGGATATCCATCTGCAGCTAGTCCCAGTGCCTACTTTGTTTTTCATTTATAGAGGTAGTTGAACTACATCTCCCATATTTTTCTTATCCTCATCCTTCCCTGCCCTGCCACTAAAAGCTTCTTTATGGTATGGTTTCATTGAGGTAATGGATCACATCATGGATTAAATATTTGCGGCTTCAGTTACACTATAAATGATGAATTACCCTAGAAGTCTTAAAATACTCATTTGATCTTTAATATATATACATATGCATATATATGCCAATATATGTGTGTACACATATGTTTTTGGATAATTTTCATGGTAGGAACATCTAAATATTGCTATTTATTAGTTTTTTAATTCATTCTTTTTCTAAGCCAAGTATCTTTCTGGAGGCAGTGCTATCAGTGACCTGTGCTTTAACAATGGTCTCCACATCTCAAAACTCATGTGCTGGCTTTAAGGACCATCTATATCTTTGGATCTGTGCATAATTAACTGACAAGAAGAACAATTTAGTTTTAATATGTGAGTTCAATGTAAATTTGTCAATTTTTAGCTATCATCTCTACATAGCTTGTTCACCACTCTTATTCAATATAGTACTAGAAGTTTTAGCAAGAGCAATTAGGGAGGAGAAAGAAATAAAGACCATCAAAATTAGAAAAGAAGAAGTCAAATTATTCATGTTTGCAGATGGATGTACATGGAAAAATCTAAACACTCCACCAAAAAGCTATTGGAATTGATAAACAACTCAGTAAAAGTTGCAGGTTACAAAATAAACACAAAAAACTGTAGTTTTTTTTTTTGTTTGTTTGCTAATGATGAACTCACAGAAAGAGAAATCACACTCACAACAGCCACAAAAGAATAAAATGTTTAGGAATAGATTTAACCAAAAAAGTGAAAGATCTCATGGGAGCAGCACTGTGGCATAGGGGATAAAGCCGCTGCCTGCAGTGCTGGCATCCCATTTGGTTGCCCATTTGAGACCCAGCTGCTCCACTTCTGATCCAGCTCTCTGCTATGGCCTGGGAAAGTAGTAGAAAGTGCCCTAAGTCCTTGGGTCCCTGCACCCACATGGGAGACCTGGAAGAAGCTCCTGGCTCCTGGCTTCAGATCAGCACAGCTCCAGCTGTTGTGGCCATCTGGGGAGTGAACAAGCAGATGGAAGACCTCTCTCTCTCTCTCTCTCTCTCTCTCTCTCTGCCTCTCCTTCTCTCTCTGTGTAAGTGTGCCTTTCAAGTAAAATTAAAAAAATCTTTAAAAAAAGTAAAAGATCTCTACAAGGAAAATTATCAAACATTGTTGACAGAAATCATCAAGAACACAAAAAAAGGAAAGATATTCCTTGCTCATGTATAAGAAGAATCAATATCATTAAAATGTTTATACTATCTAAGCAATCTATAGATTCAATGCGATCTCTATCAAAATACCAATGATATTCTTCACAGAATTAGAAAGAGCAATCCTAAAATTAATATAGAATCACAAAACACCCAGAACACCCAAAGCAATTTTGAACAAGGAAAGTCAAGCTGGAGTCATCACAATAACTGACTTCAAAGCATATTGCAAAGGTATAGTAATCAAAACAGCATAGTATTGGCATAAAAATTAAGATACAGATTAATGGAATTGAACAGAGCGCCCAGAAATTAATCTACATACATAAAGCCAACTGATTTTTGACAAAAGTGTTCAAACCATACAGTGGAGTAAGGATAATCTCTTCAACAAACGGTGTTGGCAAAACTGGATGTATATATGTAGAAGGATGAAATTAGATCCATACCTCTCACCATACACAAAAATTAACTCAAGATGGATGAAAGGCTTACGTTTAAGGCCTGATACTACGAAGCTGCTGGAACAAAATGTAGGGGAGACACTCCATGATATTGGTGTAGGAGATGACTTCTTGGATAAGACCCCCAAAACACAAGCAACAAAAAAGTAAAACTAAACAAATGGGACTATATCAAACTCAAAAGCTTTTGCAAAGTGAAGATAATGATCAATAGCATGATTGGGAAAAAATATTCACAAACCACCTATTAGACAAAGGAGTAGTATTCTGAATATATCAGCAACTTAAGAAATGACGACAACAAAAACAACCAATCCAGTTGAGAAATGGGCAAAAAACTTTGATAATTCTGAAAAGAAGAAATACAAATGGCCAAGAAACATACAAAAAAGTACTCATCATCACTAGCCATCAGAGAAATGCAAATCAAAACTACAATGAGATATCACTTCACCCCTGTCAGAATGGCTAAAATCCAAAACGCAGAGAGCAACAAATGCTGGCAAGGATGTGGACAAAGGTTCCACTTATATACTGTTGGCGGGAATGTAAATTAGCGCAGCCAATGTGGAAAACAGTGTAGCAATTTCTTAAAAAACTAGAATTAGACTTTCCATATGATTCAGAATCCCACTAGTGAGTATATACCCAAAAGACATGAACACAATGAGTCAAAGAGATACTTGCACCACCATGTTTATAGTAGCACTGTTCACAATAGCCAAAATATGGATTCAACCAAGGTGTCTATCAACAGATGAATGGATAAAGAAAAGGTGGTATATATATTCACAGTGAAATATTACTCAGCTATAAAAAGGATGAAATTCTATAACTTGCAGCAAAATGGACGCAATCGGAGGAGATCATGTTGAGTGAAATAAGCCAGAATATCACGTTTCCCTTTATATGTAGGAACTAAAATTTAAAAAGAAGAAAGAAATGTTTTTATGTATCAGTATTGCTGCAAATATAGTTTTGTAAATCTTTTTTTTTATACCTTGTGAAACCAATGGTTAAAAATGTTATACTAGGGCTAGAGCTGTGGCACAGCGGGTACAGCACAGTCTGTGATGATGGCATGTCATGTGGGCACCTGTTCAAGTGTCAGCTGCTCCATTTATGATCCAGCTCTCTGCCAATGCTCCTGGGAAAGCAGTGAAAGATGACCCAGGCCCTTGCACCCATGTGGGAGATCCAGAAGAAGCTCCTGGCTCATGGCTTTGGATAGGCTCAGCTCCAGCCATTTCAGCCATTTGCAGAGTGGAACCAGCAGATGGAAGATCTTGCTCTCTCTCTCTCTGTCTCTCACTTTCTCTGTAACTCTGCCTTTCAAATAAATAAATCTTTGAAAAAAAGAATGTTATGCTACTATAGTTTTATTGATCTGTGATTACTTTAAAATTTACTCTATATGGGTGAAATAGCCATTTTTCTATTCAATTATTGTTTATAGCAGTAGTCTGTATTTCTACTAAACTAGAGTCTTTTTGCTTTTCACTTATTAAACTTCTTATTCAGTAAAGTATTTAGCTTTGTTACTGCAATGTAAATTTAAAATGTGTTATCTAAAAACTAAGAAAAGAGAGAGAGAGAACAAAAGGGAGAAGGAAGGAGAGTGACAGGGAGAGAAGGGAAAGAGGGAAAGGGCGAGAGCAAGGGAATATCATTATGTTCTTAGAAATGCATCTACAAATCACACTGAATCAGTTACAAAAAGTTTAAAATTAAAATAAAAATTTTAAAATACACTTTTATAAACTCATATTGAATTTTAATTTATTTTTAGGATAAATTATTATTTTTTTAATTTTTTGACAGGCAGAGTGGACAGTGAGAGAGAGAGACAGAGAGAAAGGTCTTCCTTTGCCGTTGGTTCACCCTCCAATGGCCGCCGCGGCCAGCGCGCTGCGGCTGGCGCACCTCGCTGATCCGATGGCAGGAGCCAGGAGCCAGGTGCTTTTCCTGGTCTCCTCCACTGCACTCCCTGGCCACAGCAGAGGGCTGGCCTGGAAGAGGGGCAACTGGGACAGAATCTGGCGCCCCGACCGGGACTAGAACCCGGTGTGCCGGCGCCGCTAGGCGGAGGATTAGCCTAGTGAGCCGCGGCGCCGGCTATTTTTAGGATAAATTATTGTGTGGATCTGTTTTATTGACCTAAAGTATTGAAAGAAAAATCGATGTGGATCTCAGGGTACACCTGCGGCTCATTTGCTGGCTGCATTAAAGAATTGTACATTTAAAGCATTTAGAATTATATCTACTTACAAACTTACAAATGAGAAAATCCACTGTTAAAGCAACAAAATTGTAGCTTAAAATTCACCAAGGTATATGCCTATCTCTAGACTATACATCGAAAAAGCAACCTAAGTTGACTTTAAAAATTTGATTTTTTTCTTTCATCTTTTTGCTTTTTCTCTTCTTCTTGTTTCTTTTTACAAAATCATCAGTATACAATATCTTAACCCAAGGGCTGTCTAAACCAAGGGTTTCCAAGTTCTGTGTGGTGGAATAATTTAAAAAGACGTATATGATTAATAAGCACAGGACCTCCCAGTTCTCCCACATCCCCCAGAATTATTACTCCCTACCATGAAGGTACACATGTTGTGCAATTCTCTGTCGCATTTTCACTGATATCCTGACACCTTCAGCCCCTTGGAAAGCTGTTCTCATTAAGCTGCCTCCAAGTAAGAGGTCTCCAACAATTGTGGCAGTTTCTAGGCACTGTATTCAAGAATCACTACACAGTTGATCTTGGGCGTATCAGAAATGCATCCTTTCTCCCTCTTCCTCTTCATTGATGTCCATGAAATGCCATAAAACTCCGTACTGTCTCCACTGTGACTTCCTCCCTGTAAGTGCTGTACATGGTTGACAGTCCCCTGAAATCATTTTATGTTCATGTGACACTACTCCTAGTTCCTCTGCTGTACAGCAGACAGCTTTCTGCCCTGTCTGCTGTACTCCCTGGCACTATAACCTGTCACAGTGGTTCCTGAGTGGCCCTGCCTTGGGATCTGAAAAATCTCTCATAGATCTCATAGATCCTGTGGGAAAACTACTTCTTTATATTTGCTGCCAGAGTCTTCTCTCTCTAGGATCCAGATATAGTTCATATGGGCTGCACAAAGAGGCCATTTATCCAGGACCCTCATCCCAAACTCTGTCCTCAAGTTTCTCTGCTTCTAAATACACGTAAAACATTAAACACAAAATTGGCACATAATAAATATTATTTGACCAAAACAAAACCCTCTCTCTTTTTCTGATCATTTACATAGTCATTAGCATCCTATAATTAGCCTATTTGATATAAGTCTCAATTTACATCCCGGAATTCCCTTTCCACAATTTTTTTCTTGCCACTCAACCATGAAATTAAATAATCAGCAAACCTTTCATTGCATCTTTATTGGGCTACTGCTAGACCAACGGAGTGCACACTCAGCCCCTCAAGGGTGTTACAATGAGTCCTCAGTTACCCTGGGAGCAGGTCAGGATGTATCATTCGGAGACTCTGCTGGAAAAAAGAAAGCACAAGTGAAACTGCTTTAATCATAGGGCTTTGTTGGCTCATGCAACTGGCAAGTCCAGAGAAGGGCGGACTTCACATATGGTGCATCAGGACCAGGACCTTGCCTCCATTTCTCTTGTGAGTCCCTTCCTGCCTTGTTCTCCTTATTTTGACCTTTCATCACAGAGGCAAAATGCTGCAGCTCCAAGTATCCTACTCAGATAACACATAATGTGCAAGAACAGAGAACACAACTCCCCCAGCATTTCAAGCGTCACACTGACAGAACAGGCTTAGCTCATAGATCAAGCCTGTAATCAGTGAATGAGGCAGGGTGGGAGTGGCAGTGATGATTAAGTCAATCAGAGCCCATATAGGTGCCTCCCCTTCATACTGAGATTCTTTATTTATTTACTTTTTTTTTTTTTTTGACAGGCAGAGTTAGACAGTGAAAGAGAGAGAGACAGAGAGAAAGGTCTTCCATATGACTTGGAGGACCAAGTTTCAACATGAGTTTTGGAGGGGAGAAGCACCCAGAACATAGCTGTCACTGAAGGCAGGGGATGGTATGTCAGTTGTGAGATTATGTTATAAAAGACTGAAGCTTGTGGCTACCTTTCTCTCTTTCTTTCTCTCTCTCTCTCCCTCTCTCTCTCTCCTTCTCTCCCATTCTCTGTAACACTGCCTTTCAAATAAATAAATCTTTGACAAAAAGTCTTGCTCTCACAGACATACAATAAACAAACTAAATAGATTAATACATAATGACAATACAAAGGCAACTAAAAGGCCTGCTTAGTGGAAGAGAGTAGGCAAATGTCTTAGAACAGACAGGCTTTAGGAAGTATAAATCTAATCATGCCTGGAAGACATTTTTAATGATAGATCAAGACTTAGGAGTCAGGCCTGGGCACTGAGCCATTTCCTTGAGCAGCCTCACCTTAGCTTCTGCTTCCCCATTGGACTATCTCACACCTCCATGCTTCTGGAGTACTTTGTGAGGCCTTTGATTGCCCCTCTTCCTTACAGAATAAATTCTATCTCCAGCTTGCCATCAGAAGTCCAACATCATCTCTCTCTGATCCACATATCTAGGTTTATTGCCTTCTCTGCCTTTCTCCATCCCAGAATGTTGGTCTCTAGTAGCAGTGATCAATTAATTTCTTTAAAAAGATAGACCCCAATAGTCAACAGATGGGGCTAAGCCAGGTCAAATCCAGGAGCCCAGAATTCCATCAAGGCTTCCTGTTGTATGTCAGGAATCCAAATTTTTAGCCTATCATCCAATGCCTTTCCAGGCATATTACCAGGAAGTTGAATCAGAAGCGTAGAGTATCTGGGATTTGAACTGGCATATCAACGTGGCATGTGGTATTGCAAGCAGTAGCTTAATCTGCTATACCACAACACCCTCACAGAACAAGAGTTTTCCTGTTTGGACTGCCTTTGTGTCCCTAGCTGCAAAGAGGGGACTGTTAATGTCAGTCAATTAAAAAAAAAAAGAGTGAATAGAGAGTAAAATTATTTATGGAGGCCGGCGCCGCAGCTAACGAGGCTAATCCTCCACCTGCGGCACCAGCACACCAGGTTCTAGTCCCAGTTGGGGTGCCGGATTCTGTCCCAGTTGCCCCTCTTCCACAGCTCTCTGCTGTGGCCCGGGAGTACAGTGGAGGATGGCCCAAGTGCTTTGGTCCTGCACCGGCATGGGAGACAGGGAGAAGCACCTGGCTCCTGGCTTCCGATCGGAGCAGTGCACCGGCCACAGCGCATCAGCCATAGCGGCCATTGCGGGGTGAACCAACAGAAAAAGGAAGACTTTTCTCTGTCTCTCTCTCTCTCTCTCATTGTCCACTCTGTCAAAAAATAAATAAATAAATATTCATGAAAAGTGTGAAATTGTTTCACTTACTGTTTTTTAAATCAATCTACAGTGGTCTAATTTTTATGGCCCTCTATACTTGTAGAAGATAGCTTTGTAGAAACTATCATCCACTATGATCTCCTTACCCATAGTGCAGATGACCAATATGACACTAGCATTGTCACTGGTGATTTGACAGTTGCTGGACAACTGACCCACCCACCCTGAGCCAATCAGAAACTCTCTCCTGAGAGTTTGGAATGAAAATCAAAAGACCACGTGTGACTCTGTGTGGCTGTCCAAATGCATCAACCTGGACAGACTTTGTAGCACTGCAGTAACAGATAACACCAGGAATCTGAGGAGTTTTTAACAAGGTTTACTTCTTTTTCACAGTAAGTAGTCATCACCAGATGGTGAGCAGAGGCTACACAGCAACAGCTGCTCAAGGACACAGAGCTGCAGTAGACACCACCCTGAATGTTGTCATCACCATAACAAAGGAACAACTAGTCAGCTGCTAAGCCTAGAACTGATACACCATTTCTTCTCGAAACTTATTTCTCTCACCACTTCAGCCTTTCACCAGTCCTACTATGTGTCTAAGAAGATAACAACAGACACTATTTGAACAAAACTATCGATTTTTAAGTTTACGAGATAAATGTCAGAAGCCATAAGCAGTCACATTCTGTGGCCTTTAATCAAAGAAGGATAAAACAGATGCTCAGACAGAATTAAAGGCAACAGATGGAAACAGAATCCTGACTCAGTTTCCAACTGTTTTTCAGATCTCGTGTCTTCTTTTTGTTACGGTCTAGATGCATTCCTGCTCTTGGAGTGGAAATCATTAGTTCTGTGTGGGCTACATTACCTTCTGGTGCCTCTTTGACTTTCAAGTGGAATTGCTGAGTAGGCTATATAGTCTACAAGCCTGGAACTCATGGGAGAGTTCTGGGATGGGTGTGCAGTTTGGAGAGCTGTCTGTCCATAATTAGTACTTAAAGCTACAGGACTGGATGTGGTTACCAAGGGGGAAAGTTTGGATAGAAAAGAAGGTCAAGGACAGTGATGAGACAGAAGATGAGAAGGAAGGCTGAATTATGTTTTACTAATTGGCTAACTCCCTTGCCTTTTAGGATTTAGTTCAGATGTTTTCCTTATAACTCAATCTAATTTAGTCACTTTTATACTGACATTTAATGTTATTCCTTATTTCCTTCTTACTTATTCATTGTCTGCCAGCCTTCCAAAACAACAACGACAACGACAAGCAAAGAGCTTTACTGGGTCCCTGACACCCATAGCACAGCAATATCCAGCACACAGTAAGCACTCATATATTTCTGGAAGAATGAAAATAAATAAATGTGGTGGTGCAGATCCATTTCACAAGGTATATTTTTGTGCAATATGTGTTGGATGCTACATGAAAGCCATGTCAATTAATTACACATATTCTTAGACACAAATTACCATATACCATAAGTCAAGTCTATCAACCTCCTCTCATATTTTCCCTATACTATTAGATAGGGTAGAGCTACTCAGTGCTCACAGTACTCATACTGTGGTCCAAGGCCCAGCTACAGCAGAATAATCTGCAAATGCAAGCGCAAATCCTCAGCTTCACCTAGGACCTACACACTAAATCAGAATCTGTGTCTTAAGAAGCTCTCTAGGTGATGCCTATGCACACTAAAGTTTGAGAAGCATTGATAGTGGTGATGCTCCTGACCTTCAAATAAACACATGCACAAGAATTTAACAGTTTCCAAGGATTGTACTGAGCACAATTTGCAAGGCAATCGTATCTCAACAGTAACTGGAAACTACTGTAGAAAACAAGATACTTGGCCGGCGCTGCGGCTCAATAGGTTAATCCTCCAACTAGTGGCGCCGGCACACCGGGTTCTAGTCCCGGTCGGGGTGCCAGATTCTGTTCCAGTTGTCCCTCTTCCAGGCCAGCTCTCTGCTGTGGCCCGGGAGTGCAGTGGAGGATGGCCCAAGTGCTTGGGCCCTGCACCCCATGGGAGACCAGGATAAACACCTGGTTCCTGCCTTTGGATCAGCGTGGTGTGCCAGCCGCAGAGCGCCAGTCGTGGCAGCCATTGGAGGGTGAACCAATGGCAAAAGGAAGACCTTTCTCTCTCTCTCTCTCTCACTGTCCACTCTGCTTGTAAAAAAAGAAAAGAAAAGAAAACAAAAGAAAAGAAGATACTCACATAAAAGCTCCACAATACCAGTTTACCTAGAACATGTGTTGAGTGGGTTCTGCAGGCTCCAAGGGTCATTCCATTTCTGTAGTCAAGTGGTTATTTAAACAATTTACAGCGTGCTTATCACATCTCAGGCCCTATTTTAGACCTAGGAAATACAAAATAAATAAGTGATATTTGTCAAGTAGGGTCTCATGGTCTGGTGCTAGACACCAGACAAATAAGTATCCTAACAGAAGAATACACATAGTGATACAAGAGTATGAAACAGGAGACCTCACCTCACCGGGGATAGCAGTGAAAGCCATTCACAAGTGAATCTCACGTCATGTGTTGGAGTTAGAGGAGGGAGGGGGTAGCGTGAAGGGAAAGGAGAACAGCATGCAGGTAAAGGGAGCAGTGAGCAAGAGTATAAACCACTGGAGAGAGTCCAGACATTCCATAAACCACAGGAAAGGGAGAGACGTGGAAACCAATGAGGAGGTGCTGCAAGTAGTGCAGGTGGGAAACAGTAAGTCCTCAGACCTTCACAAGTGTCATGGGAACTCATCCAAATGTAATGTAGCATAAAAGGATACTTCAAAGAGTTTGCAAAATGTGAAATCAAAAGACAGGTTTATTTTGGTGCAAAAAATTAAATACATGTATAGAATTTTCACATTATGCATTTTCATGAAATTTTTAAAGGCCCTTTATGTGTTTCAAATTTTTTTGCACCAGAATAAACTTAGCTTTTAATTCCACTTTCCATGAACTTTTTGAAGTACCCTTGTATACAAAGCATAGTAGATGTGACCTTGTACAAATTAGGGCCGTGACTCCTATTCCAGTTTATTGCTAATGTGCAGACTGGGAGCTAGCAGGTGAAAGCTCAAGTAATTGGATCTCTGCCATCCACATGGGACACAAAGATTGAATTCCAGCTTCCTGGCTTTGACCTGACCGATCCATGACTGTTGTGGGTATATGGAGAGTCAACCAGCAGATGGGAGATCTCTCTTTCAAATAATTAAAAGAATAAGAGCCAGTGCCATGGCTCAGTAGGCTAATCCTCCACCTGCGGCGCTGGCACACTGGGTTCTAGTCCCAGTTGGGCACCGGATTCTGTCCCGGTTGCCCCACTTCCAGTCCAGCTCTCTGCTGTGGCCCGGGAGTGCAGTGGAGGATGGCCCAAGTACTTGGGCCCTGCACCCCCATGGGATACCAGGATAAGCACCTGGTTTCTGGCTTCGGGTCAGCGCGGTGCACTGGCCACAGCAGCCATTGGAGGATGAACCAATGGCAAAGGAAGACCTTTCTCTCTGTCTCACTGTCCACTCTGCCTGTCAAAAAAAAAAAAAAAAAAAAAGAGTGAATTTCTTTCTGTGCCTCATTTTATACTATGGAGAAAAAAAATGGCAGTAATAATACTGAGTGTCCATAAAGTCTGGAAAGATAGATTTTGATTTGTAAAGATTGGAACTTCTTGGGGCCAGCACTGTGGCGCAGCAGGTTAATGCCCTGGCCTGAGGCACCAGCATCCCACATGGGCACCAGTTCTAGACCCAGCTGCTCCACTTCCAATCCAGCTCTCTGCTATGGCCTGGGAAAGCAGTACAAGATGGACCAAGTCCTTGGGCCCCTGAACCCACGTGGGAGACCCAGAAGAAGCTCCTGGCTCCTGGCTTCGGGTCAGCCCAGTTTTGGCCTTTGCTCCATTTGGGGAGTGAACTGGTGGATGGAAGACTTCCTCTCTCTCTCTTTGCCTCTGACTGTAACTCTTTCAAGTAAAATAAACAAATTTTTAAAAAAATAAATAAAAAATATAAAGAGGTACCAGTCTACTTCTAACAAATGGTTGAATGGTTGTGCTAATCAGTGAGATGTTGAATTCAAAAGAAGCAGTTATTTTTCTAGATGTGAGAATTATGATTTGCTAGCTTATCTACTTCTCCTGGCCTTTCACATTTTCACATTACTAGCATATCAGGTAATACATACAATAGTGTATCTAGTATTATACATGTAACTAGCATATTTAGACAAACAGGGGACCTCAGAAAGATCATGGGAAAACGGAATTTAAAAGGGTAGTTAATTTTGGTGCAAAAGAGAAAACTGAAATCCATGTACAATTTTTTCACAAGCCGCATTTTCCATTAACTTTGCAAAGACCATCACAAACTGGTCACTATGTACCATGTTCTCACACAACTGTTCACCACACGGACAGACTTTGTCTTCACACTGTTGGAGTGCAGGAAGTTCCAAACACCTGTGGAACAGGCATATTTAGCATTTCCCTGAAATGCAGAGTACCAGAGGCTGGCATTCTAATGCTAATGAACAATGCCAGCTGAGAATCCACTTAGCTGTGTATTTCTCGAGAGGAAGAGTTGCAAGCAGCCATTGAGAAAGGGGAAATGAGCAGAGAACTGGAGAATAAAGAACGGAAGGCAGGGACTATATCAAAGATGACAGACAACAAGAAATAGATAAAAATGAAAGAAAAGGGGAGAGATCACTACAACCCTGGTCCGAAGTCCGAAACTCCCGTTTACCCGCGCGCTGAGCGCCCTGAAGTCGTGTGCTTCCGGGAACAGTGCGCGGCGCGGCGATGTGACGTCACGGGGAGGCGGGATTTCCGGTCCCTGCAGCGCCTTCCCAGGACCGTCGGGGAGAGCCGGCCGCCTCTTAGGCGGACAGGTGAGGTACCCTTTCCTGCACTCGGGTAACTTTGCAGAGGAAGGGGATCCGACGCGTGGAAGCACTTTCCTCTCTGTGGCTCCTCGCAGATCCCTAGCTGCCTTTGTACAGGCAACCCGTGGTGGCGGAAATAACGGTGCTGCGATAGTTTAGGGGTTCAGAACCACTTGTTCCGGGCGTCCCTGGTGCTGCTTCCCCCGCAGTCTCGCCCCAGAGCCGGAGAACACAGCATTTACTGGTGGGCTAAGTGCGCCCACCGGTGCGTGCGAATGTCCCTTTGGGAAACCGACCGGGAAGAAGTGGCCAGGATGGGGCCAAGTGTGGGCCGGGAACGGAGCAGGCACCTGGTGCCTACACTGCTCTGCACCAAATCCCCACCCTTGGGTTACTGGGGTTGTCCTTCCTTCATCGGGTCGGGGTGCAGATTGGACGGTTTATTCCTTGACTCGTTACGGAATTCCCGCGAAGGTGGTTCCTGGACACCTGCTTTGTGGCCTGTGGGTCACCATCTAAACACACAGCCCTTAGCCATTTTAGCTCTAAGAGCAAATTCCTGTGGAGACAGAGACAGACAGAACAAAAGAAAGCCCACAAAATTTAGAAACGTCTCCAGCATCTTTACTCTGAGAAGCTTCGTTTTTACTTCGTTTTAAAACTATAAATGGCATCTCACTGGGGTGTTTTTGCAGGCTTTCTCTGACCCCTCTTCCCAGCACAAAGGTTTCCACGGGGTAATCAAGGCAGCATGCAGATGCTCCTTCAGATTTTTATATTTTAATGTTTCGTATTTTGATAGCTTAAGACCTTCAGAATGGATGCTTTTCTTTTTGTTAGGACGTTGATACCCTTTCAGCATTTTTAATTCCAAAGTCTGCTTTAAGTATACTTCATCCAAAGGGAAACTAGTGTATTATATTTAATGAATATATTTATAAGTAGAGTAGCCTGCACATTTTTCTAAAATTCTTGGCTTTAATTGATGCTCAGAATATAAACTACTTTCTAGTATATTAGAGAAATAGTACTTGTGTGATTCCAACAGCGTTTGATGCCATAGCTGGTAACTTAGAGGCTGCAATAGAGTTAGGGAAAAAGACATTTGCCTTTTTCAAGAAAATTCAGCAAGTTTATCATATGCAGTAGTGTATGCTTTCATTTTTATATTTCCTCAGTAATATTGTTGGATTCTGTATTCTTCATATAAGCTCAGCTTTCTGACCCAATTTCACAGATTTCATTTAAGTAGCAAATATTTCAAAGTAGCAAATTAGAATATAAAAGTTGTTCCGAAAAGTCTAAAATTGCTGATCTCATGACCACTTTATCAAGCAGGAGCAAAGATGACCGCTCGAATATTGCTGAGACATGAATCACACTTCCACTTGAACTTTATCCTACAGAATTATACAGCTTGTGCTTGGTATCCATTAGCATTATATAAAGCTTCAAAGTAATATGTGTCTGGAAAAATAACGGAATAGAAGTCACAAGACTATAGAATTGGTTTTGCCACTTGAAGTCCTAAGACCTTCAGCAAAGAAAATAAAAAATCCGTGACTTCAGATTTTCTTAACTACACTACCTACTTTGCAGATCTTGTTATAAGATGAGAAAGGGTGAGAATGCACTTATCAAATGAAAAGTACTACAAAAAGGAAGATAGCTTGTTGCAAGTGCCAGATTACCATCCCAGTCAGGATATAGAAAACAGCGATTTGTCGTTTTATTCCTTCATCTTATCCTGTGGATACAAACAGTTAAAAAGATTTTTTTCCATGTGTCTATATTGAATGATGACTTTCAGCTTTATTTTTTTTTAAATTGACATGGGACTATGTGGTAAGATTTCTGATTTTTCTCTTTTTGTACCACATATACCAGTTGCAATTAAGTAAACAACTGTATAATTAAGGTTTTTGTTTTTCTGTTTTTTAGAAAACTTACTGTGAATTTATAGATTATAAGAAGTGGCAAAAACTGTAGAGCAAGCTCCTTGTGCACCCTTCAGCCAGCCTCCCCTAATGGTGACATTTTATTAACTGCAGTAGTACATGAAACTTGGAAATTGACTTGGTTACAATCCAGTTACTGAGAGTTCAGTAGTTTTATAAACACTCATTTGTGTGTGTACACAGATCTTTGCAAGTTTGCCACCTGTAATCACATAATGACCACCGTTATAGTCAAGATGGAGAATTACCCTCCTTGCTCCCTCGTGGTCTGCTTTACAGTCATAGCCATTTGCCCAACTGCAATCTCTTAATTCTTGGCAGCCCCTAATCTCTGCATTACTATACTTTTGTTACTTCAAGAAAGTTGATAAATGGAATCATACAGTATGTAAATCTTAGAGGCTGACTTTTTTTTATTCAGCATGATTCATTTGAAATCCATACAATTCATATATATATATATATATATATATATCAATTACCATTCTTTTTTATTCTGTGAGGTGGTATTCATTGGTCAAAGGATATATTTGTGTTGTGTCCAGTTTTTCAGCTGTTACCATAGAGGTGTTGTGAACTTTTGTGTGAAGGTTTTTGAGTGAACCTAAGTCTGTTTTCTGTAATAAATGCCCAAGAGTACAGCTGCAGAGTTTTGTGGTGTTTGTTTACTTAACTGATAAGACTTCTTTAGCTTATTGATGTGGTGAGGTACATTAATTGGTTTTCAAATGTTGAACGTAACCTGGAATAAACCCCACTTGATCATGGTGTTTTCAGATTGAATATCCTTTACATGAAATGCTTGGAATCATAAGTGCTTTAGATTAAATATTTTTTTGTGAATTGGGGATTTTTGCATGTACATGATGAACTATCAGGGATGGGTTCAAGACTAAATTCAGAATTCATTTATGCTTCATATATCCTTTATACACACCCTGATGGTAACTTTATAGCATATGTTCAGCACACCTGCGTGTTGATTGCAACTTGTCAGGTGAAGTCAACTATGGAATTTTCTGCTGGTGACATCATGTCAATGCTCAAAAAGTTTTAGATTTTGGGACATCTTGGATTTCAAATCTTTGGATTAGGCATGATCAACTTGTACTTCTTTTCATATATTGCTGGATTCTAGTTGCAAATATTTTGTTAAGATATTGGTATGAAAGATTTATTGTGTATTTTTGTACTGTTTTTGGTTTTGATATCAGTGTATTCTGCAGGATCTTTAGATATATCTGTTTTTTCATTCCTAATATTGATAATTTGTGTCTTCTGTCTTTTTCAGTGGTAGTTTATTGATTTTATTGATCTTTTTCAAAGAACCAGCTCTTTATTTCATTGATTTTCTTTCTTTTTAATTGATTTTTGCTCTTAAATTATTTTCTCCTTTGCTTTGCATTTATCCCTGCCTGTTTAAGGTTTTCTTTGTTCTTTTTCTACCTCTGTGATTACTGACTTGAGAACTTTGTTTCTAGTGTAAGCATTTGGTACTGTTATTTCCATTTTGACATTGCTTTGTTGTATCCCACAGATTTTGGTATCTTGTATTTTCATTTTCACTCAGTTGTGTGTATTTTCTTTTTAAGATTTATTTATTTGGCCGGTGCCGCGGCTCACTAGGCTAATCCTCCGCCTAGCGGCGCCGGCACACCAGGTTCTAGTCCCGGTCGGGGCGCCGGATTCTGTCCCGGTTGCCCCTCTTCCAGGCCAGCTCTTTGCTGTGGCCAGGGAGTGCAGTGGAGGATGGCCCAGGTGCTTGGGCCCTACACCCCGGGGGACCAGAATAAGTACCTGGCTCCTGCCACCGGATCAGCGCGGTGCGCTGGCCGCAGTGCACCGGCTACTGTGGCCATTGGAGGGTGAACCAACGGCAAAGGAAGACCTTTCTCTCTGTCTCTCTCACTGTCCACTCTGCCTGCCAAAAAAAAAAAAAAAAAAAAGATTGATTTATTTATTTGATAGCAGAGTTACAGAGAGGCAGAGAGAGAAGGAGAGAGAGAGAGAGGTCTTTCGTCCTTTGGTTCACTCCCCAAATGGTGCACTTCCCACATGGGTGCAGGGCCCAAGGACTTGGGCCATCTTCTATTGCTTTTCCAGGCTATAGCAGAGAGCTGGATCAAAAGTGGAGCAACCGGGACTCCAACTGGCACCCATATGGGATGCCGGCACTGCAAGCAGCGGCCTCACCCGCTATGCCACAGCACCGGCCCTGTCAGTTTCATATATTTTTAAAATTTCCTCTGAAACTTCCTTTTTGTCTCATGGAATATTTAGATATGTGTTCTTTGTTTCCAAGTGTGTAGAGACTTATTTTTTGTTTATCTCTTACTGATACCTAATTTTATTCCACAATGTATAGAAAATACAAGCTTATCATTATAATTATTTTAAATATGTTTGTTTTATGACTGATATGGTGTATTTTTAGAAATGTTTCATGGATACTTATAAAAAAAGGTATATTCTGCTGTCGGGTGTAGTATTCTGTACGTATTCATGACATCCTGCTGGTGGTACTGTTCTCTTCTTCCGTACTTTTTAATTGACTGCAGCAGTTTTGGTTGTTACTGTGTTGCTGAGAGTCCCAACTATAGTTACAGATATTTCTATTTCTCCTTTGAGCTCTGTTGGTTTTGGCTACCTGTATTTTCAGTCTCTGTTGTTTGGTGCATATACAGTTAGTATATGTCTTAGTGAATTAATCATTTTATTTTGTTCTTTGCTCCAAAGTCTAATTAATGATTAACACACAGGCATCCCTGCTTTAAAAACTATTAAGATGAGGGCCAGCATTGTGATATAGCAGTGAAACCTGCGACTACAATGACAGCATCCCAAATGGGCCCTGGTTCAAGACCCGGATGCTGCACTTCTGACCCAACTACTTGCTAATGTACCTGGGATAACAGCAGAAGATGGCTGGAGTCCTTGGGCCCCTGTACCACAGGGGAGGCCCGAAAGAAGCTCCAAGCTCTTAGCTTTGACCTGTCCCAGCCCCTGCCATTGTGGCCATTTAGGGTGTGAACCAGCAGGTGGAAAATCTCCCTCACTGTCTCTCCTCCTCTCTCTCTAACTCTGCTTTTCAAATAAATAAAAAATAAATCTTTAAAAGAAAAAAGAATCCAGAACAGGGGACCAGCATTAAAAGAAATATAATAACATGACAAATCTTTTCTATACCTTTATTTTCA